TTATATAATAATAATAATATAATAATAATAATAATAATATATAATATATATATATAGATTAATTATTACCTTAATATCTAATTTATAATTCTGAATTTAAAATTATTATTATTAACATTAACATTTGATTAGTTTTATAAATTACGTGTAATTTATATATGCACTATGCATAAATTCTAAATTTTCTAGTATAATAATATTCTTCTTCCTATATATAGATTAAATATTATTAATTGTATATAATACCTATTTATAAATGATAGAAGATATTACAGAAATGCCCCTAAGTTTTGGGGTGAAAATTTGGGTAGGATGGTTTTACTTTTAATTATATATAGATAGATTGGTTCTATTTCATTTTTTAAGCAAAATCTTCCTTAAAGATTAATAGTAAAATAAAGCTAACTTATTAATAACCGATTTTATTACATTTTTTTATGTAGAATTTTTTCTTAAAGATTAATAGTAAAATAAGGCTAAATTATTAATAACCAATTCTATTCTATTTTTTATGCAAAATCTTTCTTAAAAGATTAATAGTAAATATCTTAATGATTTTTTTTATACTGCTTATTGATTCTTTTCCATTTTTCAGAGTGTAAAAAAAATTCACATGACTAACATTTCCTTCCATTCATTTCCATTTTTCCATATTATTATTAATTTCCTTCTCAGTATTATTCTATATTGTTTTGGCGTACGACTTCCTTCCATTCATTTCCATTTTTTCATATTATTATTAATTATTAATTGTTTAGGCAGGAACTTATAAAGGAGGATATTGTTTTTATTAATTAATATAGAGTATAGATTACCAATTAAAATTTAAGTTTTTATTATAATTGAACAATAATATTACCAATTATTATTTGAATATTTTGTAAAATAATAAGTAAAATTGTATTACGGATAGGAAAATATATGTACTTTAATATTAATTTAAATTATTAAAAATTAATTTTATTTTATTTTTTTAACAAAATCTTCCTTAAAGATTAATAGTAAAATAAAGCTAAATTATTAATAACCAATTCTAATACAATTTTTTACGCAGAACTTTTCTTAAAGATTAATATAGTTAAAATAAAGTTAAATTATTAATAACCGATTCTATTACATTTTTTACGCAGATTTTTTCTTAAAGATTAATAGTAAAATAAGGCTAAATTATTAATAACCAATTCTATTCTATTTTTAATGCAAAATCTTCCGTAAAAGATTAATATTAAAATATCTTAATGATTCTTTTCCTTATACTGCTTATTGATTCTTTTCCATTTTTTAGAGTGTAGAAAACATTCAGATGACTAATATTCCTTCCATTATTTTCCATATTTCCATATTATTATTAATTTTTTTTTCTAATATTATTATTAATTGTTTGGGCGTACCGCTTCCATCCATTCTTTTTCATTTTTTCATATTATTATTAATTGTTTAGGCAGGAACTTGTAAAGGAAGATTTGTTTTTATTAATTAATATAGAATATAAATATAGATTAATATAGAAGGTAGATTACCAATTAAAATTAGATTTTTTAATATTATATTTGAACAATAATATTACCACTTATTATTATTATTATTATTATTACCACTCACTACTACCACTACTACCACTACTACCACTACTACCACTACTACCACCACCACCACTACCACCACTACTACCACTACTACCACTACTACCACTACTACTACTACTACTACTACTACTACTACTACGGAGTAATTATGGCGATCCCATAATTACGCCAAAGAAGAAATACACTTTTGACCTATACAATGAGGAATTGAGCATGGACTTCATAACTGTCAAAATCGGCACCATGAGAATAAAACAACTTAACAAATCAGAACTTCAGAAGTCCGATTATTTGAATAATCAACGCAAAGAACTAAGAAGAATATAATAATAGTCAATTGGTGTATTGACTATTATCAGCACTCAGCATCCCTTTAAATTAAACGGGCAAGAGTAGGCACCACTCAAAGCGAGATTCACATGAGGCTGCCTTTCATCAATGATAATGAAACTTCAATAGAAGCAAAAATCAATATCTGAAATGGACTTGGAGTAACCGTAGAAATATTCAAAATAAATCGTAATCTAGGCATATGATATGAATAGCTTTTCGCTGAAAAAAGTATTAAATTTAGACAATACAACAATGAAAAACGTATTGTATCCAATCCAATCAAACTACTTGGATGCTAAACCTACCGTTAATTTCGAAACGCAACTAAATTGGATGATCAAAGTTGAAGACCTAGTGGGAAAAAAGGGATGCAATATAAAATGAAGACTTATAATTTTTGTAGTCATCAACTCATTGTATTTATAGGTGAAAAATATGAGAATTATAAATTTGTAAAATTTTTCAAAAAGAAAGTGTATTTATTTATTTAAGGTATTGCCCTAATCAATTCATTATATTGATATTCCTAATCAATTTATTATATTAATATCCCTAATTAATCTTATTCCTAATTAATTCATAATATTGATATTACTAAATTTCTATTTTTCATTTACTTACCAAATAAGCTTTATTAAGTATTTGACCAATAAAATATATAATATATTTAATTAATTTGACTACAAAGTTTGAGCGGAAAAATGAAAAAGGAGGATTTTACTTTTATATATATATAGAATATAGATATAGATATAGATTGGTGAAATGTACACCTTCCTTAATCAGGCTACTATTTCCTTTAGCAATTTTCAGTTTTGGGCTTCCTTTCGGCAGTTTATCAGTGTGCTGTCGGTTTAAGAAAGCCCATGGTGTAATGGATTTGCTTTGGAGGACAATACATGAGGCCTAACCTCATTTTTCCCAAGACAAATGTTCATCTTGCATTGTGAACTCTACTTTAAAAATTATGTATCTTCAATTGACATATTTTGTACTTACAGTTAATAATTTATATGCTTTTAAATAAATGGAAAATACTTGGTGTACTTGATGAAAATAACCAATCCTGGATTGCCACCTCAGGGAGTATAAATGAGGGAGTAGAATTTTGGGAGTCTATGTAGTAGAACTCTAAATAAATTGAATACACATAACATGTTAACTAGAAACACATAAAATAATAACTACTAACACATAAACTGTAACTGTATGTATAGAATATTATGTGTGCGCATAAATTGTTAACGAAAGTTATTTTGAACAAGGATCTGTAATACAAGGTAGACCCTGATTCAGGGTATAATTTGTTCGTTCTGACATACTTACGAAAATTAAATCCACCAATACTTTGTAGCCAAGTGACACTAGTTAGATTGTAACTTTAAAACAAGAGACCACAATGTAAGTTCAATTTTCAACCTCTCAAATGTATTATAGTTGTTGAATATGTAATATATTTAAAAAATGGTCATTTTAAAAAGTTTTATTATGGAATCCAAAGGAACCTTAAACTTGGAAGTTCAGACTGATTGCAAAGATGTTAATGAGGTTCTTAATGACGCCAACAATAGCGAACACCATAAGGGAACTATAAAGAGACGGTGCAGAGATTTACTCTGTAGAGGTGGTAGCATCGAGTTAGTGCATGTCTTCCGTGAATAGAATTCTGTTGCAGACTTTTTTGCTACGGTAGCTGCTAACAGGAGGGAGCCTTGTATTATTTTTGCTTCCCCTCCCCCTGACTGTGAAACTTTGGTTTGTAATGATCAAATGGGAGCTGTGAGTGATCGTCTCATGCTTGAGACGGAGTAGGCTGTTTTGTTTTTCTATCCCTTAGCCTGGAATGTCCCCCTCCCGTTTGTAGTTTCAAAAAAAAATTATTATTATTTCTTGGTGTAAACTACGAAGTGTTTCACATCTATATCTCCGCAAAATACGAGAGTTGGTCCAAGAGCGTGGGGAATTGTCCTACTCGTGGAAAGGCTATGATAGGGCGTGTGGTCAACACATTGGGAGTACCTGGTGATGGAAGAGGGGCTCTTCAAGCCAAGTCAATAGACTTGTGCCTTCTTTCACAACCAAGTGTGGGGCTTTGCATCTGAAATTCGTTGGGCTTCCCTTTTCCTGATCCTGTGTCTTAGCGTTTTTGTGCAATAAATTCCTCCCGTCTTAGGTTATCCCAAAGATTATTCACACGTAGAATCTCATTTGTAACTTGAGCTACCCCTTTAAAAGTTAAATTAAAAAAAAAAAAAAAATTATGATAGTTTTTAGGGAAAATGGCACTTTTTCCCCCTGTGTTATATGTTTATAGCACTTTTTCCCCCTGAGTTATTCATGCATTCACATTTGCCCTCTCAATTATTATAAAAGTGGCAGTTTTCCCCCTTTATAATATTAAATGGACATTTCTACCCTTAAAATAAATATTTTATTTATTTATCTTCTTCAACAAATTATTGCTTATACGTAGGGATGACCACGGTTCGGTTCGAACTGAACCGAACACTATAGCAATCAAATAAAAAAATTTCGGTTATAATTCATAACATAACCCAATATTTGGGGTTCCGTTTATTAAAATCATCAACTGGAAAAAAAATGGCTCCTGGACCGTGAATCGGAGATTCAAATCAGAACAACTACTAGCGATAGCTTAAAATTAGAATTATAATATTTGCAAATAGTGTATATTTTTTTTTCGCATTTATATTGACTCTCACATATAAGTATATATAATCGCGATTTGGTTTCTATTTTGAATCGTCGGTTCATGATTTCGGATCCAATTTGAACTGTTGGTTCAAACTTTATTTTAATTTTTTTTTATTTATTTTTAAAGTATTCAAAAAATTCAACAATTAATGCATTTTATTTTTTCAAATCGTGGTTATAATTTGTTGGAGAAGAAAAATAAATGAAATATTTATTTTAAGGGTAAATATGTCCATTTAATATATCAGGGGGAAAAACTGACACTTAAATAATTTAGGGGGAAAAAGTGCTATAAGTATATAACACAGGGGGAGAAAGTGCCATTTTCCCTAGTTTTTAATACTTCCAAAATTTAATAAAACCAAATTAATACTCCAAAAAGATTATCCTCAATAAAAAAGCTAAAACTATACACAATAATTGGCTAAACTTGGTTGACGGACCAATTTGTTGAGAAGTAAATGTAACGCATCATGAACAAACATAATACAACACAACAGTACTGTCTCTGTCCTATGTTCCTTTGGTACGATGAACCAACTCTAACCAATCGTCTTCTTCTAGGTTTAATTATCTCCTGCATCTCCAACACGACACCGAGAAGAGAGCTCGATCTTGCCAGCATATCACCACGCACCCATTCTCTTCCTTCACGTTATACCCATCGCACCGGCAGCTCTGCAAATACCTCCGAGCTTGCAACATGGCGTAGTAACTCAGCGCCACGTTCCAGAACCCAGACGACCCCAATCTCCAGAACCATTTCTCCAGCTTCTCGTGCCTTTCTTTCCTCTCCATTCCCTCGCAGGCTATGATGTTCTTGATCTCCTCGCCCAGCACCATCTTCTCCGCCTTTAGTCTCTCCGATGATGTTCTGGGCAGCGTCGATTCTAGGCAGTCGAATAATGCCGCGTAGTAGTGCAGCGATTCCGAGAGCCTCTCCATCAGTTTCTCTCCGTTGTGGTTACTTTCTTGCTCCGAGATTATCAAGATTTTCGGGGATAAACCTCGTAGAGCGTCGAGGAATCCTTTGATCTTGTGGTTTTCGAGGAAATAATGATCCCCCGGTCTTTGGGGGTTCTTTCCGGGTTCGTCGTTGTGTGCGAGGAGAGTGTGGAGTTTCAGGGAGGAGGTGATGGCCAGAGCCTCCCCGGTTTTGACGCGGAGTTGTCGGAAATCTAGGGTTTCGAGGTTGGTGACGATTGGGGTGAACTGAAAAGGGATGTCGAGCTTCTCTGCTTCGTCGGTGAGCGCGCGGGCGGTTTGGTCTAGCACCTCTCTGTGGGGGTGCACGCCGGTTATGCGCAGATGCGGCGGCCCTTCGGGGCGGGCGCTCAAGTCCTGGAGCAGCGGCCGCCACTGGGTGGGTTCGGCGGCGTTGAGGTCTATGATGTGGACTAGCTTTTCCCCTTCCATGGCTTCGATTATCGCTTGGTTAGTCACCATGAAAGCTACCTGCAATGTAATCAACAACAAATCTTGTTTCTTTATTGAAAGTGGGATCGGAGAGTCTAAATTCAGATATATTGAGCATAGGCCGGTAAGGGCTAAGTCTAGTACTGTGTATCTAGGGGATTGTTGGACGGGGTAGATCAATAAAAAGCTAAATTCAAAAAAAAAAAATTGTTGGAAGGAGGTCCGTAAATGCTAAATTCATCACCATATAGGAGATTGTTGGACTGAGGCTAGTAAAATGGTTGTTAGCTGATAGCTGTTAGCTGATTGTGTTAATTAGAGGGTATAAATAGTTGATAACATTAGGTGATTGTAGAAAAGTGTTTGGTAAATTAGCTGATAGTTGTTTGGTATAATTTCTTTTCTCAAAAAGCTAATTGAAAAAGCTGCTTGGAGTACCTTTTTGAATTTTAGCCTTTTGGAGTTGCAAAAAGCTAATTAACCAAACATTTATATTGATATTTTAACTAAATCAAACAATTAATAGTGGTCAAATAAGCCAAAATTGGCCTATAGGCCAATTTTTTACCAAACAGGGCCTTAGTATCATGTACTTAAGGGGTTATTGGGCTGAACTGAGACCGATAAAAGGCTAAGTCCACCACCATGTACCTAAGGAATTGTCGAATGGAGGCCAGCATCATGTACCTAAGGAATTGTCGGATAGAGGCCGCTAAATTCAACACTATGTGCTTAGGAGATTGTTGGGCGGAGGTTAGTAAAGACTAAGTACCATGTACCTAAGGAATTGTTGGGCCTAGACTGATATAACTAAACAGGCTAATTCCAGCACCGTTGTACCTAAGGCATTGTTGGAGGGAGCTAGGTCACAAATTCTAGTATCATGTCTCAAAAATTGTTGGGTGGAGGCCGCTAAGTCAAGCATTATGTATCTAGAAATTGTTGGACAAAAGGCTCTAAAAAATGTATGGCTTATAAGAAAATAAAGTTGTAGTTTCACTATTAGCTATGGAGTATAACTTTTGGTGTAGTATCCTAACAAGATAATTAATACTTATGGTACCTTCAAGAAAGGGAAAAGGTCGTAAAGCATCTTCTTGGCCTTGACTTGATCGGAGAGAGCCGGGAGTCTAGTGGAGTGGAGGGCCTTGTAAAGACCGGGCCACGTCCGGAGAATTCTATCGGCGAGGGCCTCGGCGAAATAGGAAGCGATGCGCTGCATGGTGTCGCCGTCGGGAGAGGCGAGGTGGGAGATTTGGTCGAGTGCGACGTTGGCGCTGTCGAGGGCGCCGGCGGCGACGTGATTGGCGCAGGTGAGAAGGAGGTGGATGAGATAGAGGCCCCTTTCCTCCGGCTTCAGCTCCTTGAACCAGTGGCACAGCGACCCAAATCCGCCGGCGGCCATCCTCGGCGACAAGGAAGTTATGGACGAGGATCCATCATTATTATC